TTAGAGCTTATATCTCTAAAATTTCTCTCTGAAGTTCATATATATTTTTTTAAAAACCTTATATACTTTTATTCGGTCTGAATCAAATTTGATCTCAACTTAAACAATCTTAAACAACTTAGCCCTAAATGATTCCTTAACTCTCAAAGCACTATAAAACAACTAATAACACAACATAACAACTTGAAACATTGTAAAACATCATAAATCATCACCACATGCATAAAAGCAAAAAGCATTATATATATATATATATATATATATATATATATATTAATCTTGAATTATCTTACTAATTTTAGTTTCTAAACTTTTACCGATTTTCACATTTAATTTTTGAAATTTTCCTCCCACTAATATTTTAATTCCTCATATCAAACTTTTTTTTATTCATGGGAAAAACAATCCAAAGATTAAAACCAAATATAATTTATTCAAAGACTAAAAATAAAAAAAATTGACAAAAGTTTAAGACTAAAAAAAATTTAATCCAAATAAAAACATATAGTGCTACAAAAAAGTTCCATTTGTATATATTTAGATCACTTGTTAAAATAACATGCAAATTATTGATTAAGCTATTTGTATAATCGATTATGTTGACAATTGTTTTCTGAAAATTTATAATAAAATAATATATAATCTTAAATAAAAAGGCATAATCTGTGAGACCCCTTTTCCTTTTCTCTCCCCGACTCCCTATTCTCACTCACTCTCATTTCTCCTCACTCACACTCTTTTCTTCCATTTTGCTGACTGTGCTCTCATTTTTCCTTGTGGTAACTTTGGATTGAAGGTGCTGAGTAGGTGATTGTTTCTTTCGGAGCCCTGCCATGCGGAGCTTCTCATTCTTTCTCTCTTCTTCTCCGTTTCTCTTCTCGGAAGCTCGGATTTTCGCACCGAGGTAAGGGAAGCTAGATTTTTCGCTGTTTTTGGATGTATATGAGTTCAAGAAACTCATTAGTTGTTGAAGTTGGATGTTTGGCTGAGTTTTGATGAAGATGGGTCTTGTTGGGGTTTTGGGGTTTTTGATGAAAATTTGAGACTTTCACTTGTTTTATGGTTGCATGTGTAAAAAGGTGGTGTTTTTGAGCTGTTGGTTGAAAATGTGGCATCTTGAATGGATTGCATGTGCTGGAAATGTGAAAATTTCAGGTTTTGGGCAAGATTTTCGAACTTGGGGAGTTGCTGCTGGGTACCCCGCCGGGCGCCATTCTTCGCGCCGGGCGCGTAACCACCAGGGGCTCCATTTAGGCAAGCCTGCTAGGTGCAAAGGTGTGTGCGCCGGGCGAGCTTGAGAATGTGAGCCTCTGGATGGCCCACGCCTGACGTGACTTGGACCGCGCCGGGCGCGATATCAGTTGTGACATGTTTTGGGTTTTCTGGTGCTGCGCTGGGCGCGATTTTGTCTCTCCGGGCGCGGAGACTCCTTGGGAGTCTCTGCCATGGGGGTGCCGGGTGCAATTCAAATTACGCTGGGCGCGAGACCTTGGGAGGTCTCTGCCTTCCCCGCGTTGGGCGTGGGCTAGGGCACGCCGGGCGCGTGAGACTCCTTAGAGTCTCTGCCTGGGATTGCGCTGGGCGTAATTGGTATTGCGCCAGGCGCGTGTGAGCCTTGGGCTCTCTGGCTGGGTCACGTTGAGGACGGGCACTCTTGCACCGGGCGCGCTGACCCCTGGTGCTCTCTAGTTGTGCCACGCCGGGCGCGACCTGGAGTGCACTAGGGGCGGTGGTGATGTTTAACTATATGCTTTTGGATGTTGTGAAATGTTGTTCTATGTTGAGCTGAGCTGAAATTGATGAATATGCTGTGCTGAATAGTTGATAATTTTGAATCATGATGTTGAGCTATATTAGATGTATATTGCTGAGCTGTGTTGTGCTGTGAGCTGTTATTGCTGTAAGTTGTGCTGTGTTGTATGCTGATATGAATTATTGTAGGTCGTAAGGCTGAGCTGTTGTAGGCCGTAAGGCTGAGCTGTTGTAAGTCGTAAGGCTGAGCTGTTGTAGGAGATCTCCGAGCTGATATGCGTGACGACGCATTGTGTGATATTGCTGGTTATGTTGTATAGTTGATGAGCTGTATGCTGATGATGTGCTGATAGCTGTAGTTGTTTGCTATATATATATATATATATATATATATATCTGTAACTAAGGTTTGGTTAATTATCCAATATGTTTGCTCTGTGTAATTCATCTTTTCTTCTGCTGGTTTCAGGACAACCCCTCAGAAAAGGATATTAACCAAGGAACACTTGTAGTGTTCAATTTGGATCCCTCTTTGAGATGTTTTAGCCACTAGTTTGGCTACTTTGGGCTGTATTTTGTATTCTGTTTTGTTCAAGCCCCAGATTTGGACCTTGTGTATATATTTTAGATGTTTATATATATATACTTGTTCCTTCTAAGTGGCGCTGGTTTTGTTGAGTAGTGAGTAGTGACCAGCCGGGTCGTTACATAATCAATTATATTGATAATTTTTTTGAAAACTAGTAATAAAACAATATATAATATGAAATAAAAAATAATTTTATACATATTTTAATTAAAATAAATACATAAATATTATTTATAAATATGAACACGAGTTAGAATTATTATAAATGTATAAATAAAAATCAGAATTTTATTTTAAAATTACGTATTAAAATAAAATTGAAATACACACTGAAATAAAATTTTAAAAAAAATGAATGGGCACCATGTAATCATAATCGATTATGCTATCATAATTCATTATGGTGGCCTATACAGAGGAAAAGAGAGGCCATGAGAAAAACAAACAAATGGGAAGAATAGTAAGTGAACGTAAATTCTCTAGCGACGAGGCTTGTTTTAAATTGTTGAGGACAATTTTGTATTTTAAAATTTTATCCACCAAACTTTCAAATTATGTGAGTATGTGTGAAAATGGTGTGGACTACACCCAAATTACTTTCAAATCCACAGTATTTCGCTGTCGCAAACAACAGTGTAAGTTGGAATTCCTTGAGCTTCCTTCCCCCATTTCATTGCTCCCGAATGGACCGTAAATGTGTGTTTTATATACAAGGAAAAAAGTTTTGATTTCCAGAAATCATAATTTCTATGTATCACAAATACAAAAATAATGATTTATATAAATGATTAAAATATTTAATTAGTTATAAACATTTTAAAGATTTTGTATACATATTTATTGAGAATTAAAGATTTTTTATTTGATTTTAGATTACAATAAAATTTTGGTAGTTTACTTTTATTTTTAGTTTTAATTTAGTTCTCTAAATTTAAAATGTTTCACTTTGGTCTTAAAATAATCCTATTAAAACAAATTTAACATCCAATTTATATTAATTTGGTCAATTTGATAACATGCAACAAATATGAGAGATAACATGTCACCAAAAATTTTAAATTAGCATTGTTTGTGCAAAAGAGTAAAACAAATGACCAAGATTTTATTTAGCTTTGACTTTAACATAATGTTTGATTGGAGTGAAGTAGCGGGGAGAGATTTTTTTTTAAAATTTTTTTATTGTTTGATTTAATTTATAAGAAGAATAAGAATAATATATCTTCTCATATAATTTTAGTTTCCCTCTAATATATAGAGAATTTGGAGGGGAGTGAGAAAGATTTTAAATTTTTTTGAGTGTAATGTTTAAAATATCCTTACATTTTTTTTAACTTGATTATAAGGATACAAAAACAAATAAATTTTTAAAATCTCCCTCATTTATTTATGAATCAAATAAAAAAAGAGT